AGGCTCTTCAACGGGATGGATTGGCACAATGGCAGCTTAAGCATAACAAACAGCAGTTGTGAGGATGGCGCAGGATAGGCAGTGTTTTGTTCTGTTGTGCATAGGGTCACTATAAGTTGGAACCAACTAGATGGCGCCTAACAGCAACAATCCACATGTCTTGTGCTAAAAGATCTGAGCTTTTATGGGCTTCTGTCTTATTTATTTTACATCTTACATGTATATGTACCTTCATGAAGAATCTTGAAGTGCCCTTGAGTCAGTTCACATGCAGAGATTGTGTATAGGGTTTCCAAGGAGTGATTGGTGAGTTTTGACTGCCTACCTTGTGGTTCAAACCAACCTTGCTGCTTCATACTTATCCTACAGTGTCACACCAGGATTCCCATATTTATAGTCAGTGAGCATTCTATATTTGCAGATTTTTATTCTTAAACAGCAGGTTAAAGAGGAAACTGTTGTCACCTGTTACTTTTGACCTACCCAAATCCACTGCCACTGAGTCAATTCTGAGACTCAGTGATCCTGTATAGAATTTCTGAGACTGTGTATCTTTACCAGGTATACAAAACAACATTAATGGTCTATATATATGATGAAATATTTTAAAAATATTTTTTAAAGGGAGCATTAAAACAATGTTTTATATCAGCATCCATAAGTGTAAATGATGCAATCAATAGAGAACGTTATTTTAAACATTGGAAACATATTGATATTTTGATTGCTCGTTCCAACACATAGAGACCCTGTATAGAGTTTCCAAATAATGCCTGGTGAGTTTGAACTGTTGACCTTACAGCTAGTCCAGTATGTATCCGTCTAGAGAGATTTCTTTTCAATTTAAATATCTGGCATATTTAAACTAAGTTTAACCAAGTGAGATGAACAAAACCAAGAAAGGTAGAGTTGTAAAGACTAAATTAACTGCTGCATTTTTGCTATTTTCAGTCTCTCCTTGTCTATATTTTATTTCTTTCTATGGTGCTTAATGCTTAATTTTATGTTTCCCCACCTTTTAGTTATATGCAGTTGATTCCTCTAGTGTTCATTTTCATTCAGTTCTATATATTCACCCAGCTTAAACCTCCCATGTTTGGTGTCACTAGGAAAAATACCTTATTGCCTTGTCTGTTTAACATTTAACATATTTTTCTCCCTCCCTCTATGTCTTGAACCTAATGAGCAAATTATCTAAAAATAGATACGTTCATCATTCGACAAAATATTGTATCTTCTCTAGATTGGAGGCCAGTGTAATTGTAAGAGACATGTGTCTGGGAGACGGTGCAATCAGTGCCAGGATGGATTCTACAATCTTCAAGAGTTGGATCCTGAGGGCTGCAGTCCCTGCAATTGTAATACCTCTGGGACAGTGAATGGAGATATTATCTGTCACCAAAATTCAGGTCAGTGCAAGTGCAGAGCAAATGTTATTGGTATGTGTAATGCTGAAGTTTACAGTCACATCTCTATTACCATCTGGACTAAAATTCTCTATTTGATTTCGTAACTCAGAGTAAAGTAAACTTCTTACTCAAGGCAGGCCAGAAAAAAACAAAACAAAAACAACCAACAACAATTTGGATGAAATTAACTGTCTAAAAGTGATTCCGTTCATAATTCTATCACACTACAGCTTGAAGCTGAGTACAATCAACCCTTTAGAAGTTTCTTTATTCTGTAGATGTATGTGTTCAGAGTCCCACACTAATGTCATAGAGAAATATGATCTATTTGCTGCATAGATGTTCCTTTTAGAAAATTAGCACTTTTTCCAAATGTTTTTCACTTAACGAGTTCTAAGCAAATCGTTTTCATGCTAGTTTTCTTAATAGACCAAAAGAAATAAATTAAAAAAATATATATTCTCTGCTACAGGGTCCTTTGTGATAAATCTTTCCATTTTTTTTTCTATTATATTTCTTTGAACTGTTTCTATGAAATGTAAAATAAGTCAACATAATTCTACAGATCATGTATATTGATTGCTAGGGTTAGTTATAAAGGGCCACATGATTTTAATTTTATAATTCAGTGCCAAGCTGATTATAATGAACAGCTACCTTCAGTGTTATTTATCATTTTTTTTATACAGGACGTGCTTTTTTGTTTGTTACTCCCACAGGTATATTTCAGAAATTAGATTTGATTATGGCAATTTATTACATCCAACATTTTTTGAGGGGAACCACAGCCACATAAGGACAAAATTTATCAAATGCCCAAAATGCACTATGTACATAATGTACTTTGAAATTTTGATGTATGAGAATATTATAAAAGGAAAGTTTCCTGATGAAGTGAGTCCTGTATTGTAACTGAATACATCTTGGCTCACAGAGGAAGTTTAAAAAGGACCTTTACCTTTCTATTGTCATTCAAGACACCAAGTCATCCGTGGGTTTTTCCAACACTGACCTGAACTTCACAATAATAAAACTATGCCTGGCAGTGATGCATGTATGTGTGTGCACAAATGAATAGATACATATATACATAGACATGTAGCATTCTGAATATCATATTCTTTCCATGAAATACTGGGAAGCTAATTCCTTATCTTTCAAATATGCACATATGTAGATGTACATACATCTTTTAATGCAATTTAACCCACCAAGCTTTTCAACTTGATTTTAAAAATAAGGAAAATGAGCTTACTTCATGGTATTATACAAGATTCTCTGATTTCAAAAAAGATTACACCAGAATCTATAACATGGTTTCCCCTTGTGCTTTTCAAGTACACAATAACTATAACTTTTCCGAAAAACAGAATAACTAACTTACAAAGAGCCCCTCATCTTTATGTTCTCTTTCAGTAATGCTAACTGAATTCTAAGACCTTTGAATTTAATCTATATAGCATCCTTTGTTCTTTAATGTGTGGAATGTTTTAAATTCAAGATGTGAGCACAAACTTAAAGACAGAGAGGCTGTTATTATTGCATATCAATGAGGTCAGTCCTCAGTCAGGTTTCAGAGCTTAACAAAGTCAAAAAATGAAATGTTATTTTTCATTTTGAATTTGTAATGACTTCCCTGACATTTGCCTAAGTTTTTGGTTGATCTAGGAACATGAAAATATAAACAAGTATTTTGTGACAACCAAATATATCGTCATCTGGCATTATTGTTCTATGGTAATTTCTGTAAGTGCTGTGGTGTTTTTCTTTGTTTTTTTTTTGTTGTTGTTGTTGTTGTTACAAATACAAGTGTAACTTGACATATATATATATATTTCTTGTCCTAATGCAATTAGCAAGTAAACATATTCAATTTTAACTTGTTAATATGGGGAGAAAAAACAAACAGAAAATACAAGTGTATTGTATATGCTTCAGAAAGCAAAATGTTAGAGTTAACAAAACTGTTAAATCTTACTAATGATTCTATCACCAGTAAAATACATTAGCACCAATAATTTTATTAAAGTAGGTCATTCATCTAGAATAAAAAGGAGAAGAATGTGAATTAAATGCCAAGTGTGCTAACTCGCCTATACTGTTAACACTGAATGTGATGCCCTGTAGGCCTTCCTCAGTATCGTTAGGAATAGATTACCTGTCAGGAATATGTATGGCATATTCAAATAAGCACTGTGCGTATTTTTAAAACTGATATGATATGAATCCATGTAGACCAATTTTAATAGTTCAAAATGAGTCATAATTCTTGTTAACAATACAGTTATTTTTAAAATTTGCAGCAATAGTGGTCCTTTTTTATTTTCCTTATTGAAATTAAATGATATGCCTTAGGTGAGTCATTCATCACTGTTAAAGTAACTTGCCTTCCATTGGAGTTCTTGAATTTTTATCCATACATATACATATATATTATGCATTTGCTTCCAGTTTAAGAAATGCTTTTCTACATATGAGTTCCTGAACATGTTTTTGAGAATTATTTTAGGTTTAGTTTTTTTTTTTTTTAATCGTCATTATAGCTTAAAATAAATGTTTCAATTGATTCAACCCCATACAATCAGATACTTGAATTCATGGATCTGTGAAAACTACCTAAAAGAAGCATTTTGCATCTGAGCATTTGTTAATACATTTAAAAATTTTATTTGCCTTATAATATTCTTTTTGAGATTAACTTCAGATGCCTGAGATATAAATTTAGGTGATAAAACATTTCCTCTGTTTTCAAAATGTTTATGTGTGTGTGTGTGTGTGTGTGTGT